ACCCGCCCGGGGAAGCTCGTACGGGGCTCCCCGCGAGCTGCCCTGCCCGTCCGGGAGCGGCGCGGGGGGGCCGGAGGGGCCCCTCGTGTCCCCTAAACGCGACGGGGCTGAGGGCGAGAAGAGAAACGGTTACAGGAGTACAGACGTTGGCCTGGGAAGGGCTTCGCGCCTGCGGGTTCGGCTTTTGGAGGGGATGCTTAAATGGATCACCCTGGTACTTGAACCCTGAGGCTCTGGAAGTTTTTGGGGGGCGGGGTTCAGCGCCAGCCTGAACAACGGCTGTTTTAAGAAGGAAGCCTGCATAGCGTATGGGAGACCTGATGGTAAACTGCAGGAGTTGGGATTTGCTCTAATGGCGTTCACAAACTCTTCTTCACGCCAGCCTTCCCCGGCGGGCTGTGCTCAGCCAGTCGCTGTGGTGACTGGTGGTTTTCCAGGGATCCCTTCTCTTGCGTAAATTGTAGAGACAATCCTTAGCGGCCTGCCTGGATGCTGGATTGTGGACCGTTGCCGTGCGGTAAATACAGAGGTACCACGCCTGGGCTTCCTTAGACAGTAGTCTTAGATAGTAGTCCTTAGGTTGTCTCTTTCTACCTGGAAGTCTTGTCTGGATAGAACTTGGCCACTTCCCAGGGACTTCTGCCAAGACAGAATTTTGATCTAAACTTCATGGATATAAATTTAAATACTGTTTTGTTTAATGTTACTGTTTAACATCACAAAATATTTGCAGAATAGTTGTAGTGAATTTAATACAACTGAATCCCTCAGTTCAGTGGCAAGACCAAGGTTAGACAGAATTTCTCCCTTGTAGGCCTTGATAACAACAGCTTTTAAAAAACTTTGGGTTGAAATTGTTGATACATGGGTTTTGGCTTCAAAAGGGATTATTTTATAGATATGTATATGTATTTGTAGGGGAGGGAATTTTTTTTTTTCTGGTTATTTCGGGTATTAACCCCAAAAAGATGTACATGCCCTTTGTCACACTACCTATTTCTCAAAAACAAGCCATGAAGTAACCAGGTGTGAATGAGAATGCTTTTATTACTCTGTGCAAATCTGTGTGCAAGCATTCTTTTTTTCTGTATTGAAGCTGAGGCAAGATTCAGATTTCTTAAAAAGCACGTGCAAGATGCTTTTGTCAGTGTATAAAGGAGAGGTGTGGCAGTAATATTGCTGGTTTGGGGCTTATTTATGTGAAGACCATGTCCTAAGGAAGAAAACGTGTAAGTGATAGAGGTGTCTGATCTGAAGCGTTCTGCGAAGGTATCGGTGAGGAGAGGATTCAAGGATCCTAAAGCTCTAAAATCACAAGCGTTTATACACGTTAATGATGTTGCAGTGGTTACCCCTAAATTGGCGAGTCGGTTTGGTAGTCTATTTCTGCAGCTCTGAGCATGTGTGGGGACAAGGATGGAGCATAAAAATGCAAAACTCATTTGAGTTATATTGTGCCTTGAACTTCTCTTGAAAATGTGTACTCTGCCCTCAGGAAGGAAAACAACAGAAGCCAGTTGAGAAGAACTGGTATGGGAAGATTTGATGTGTTTTATGGGTATACATTCAAATAGAGATTTCCAGATCTTGTTGTTTTATTTAAAAAGCCACTTATGACTTTTATAAGTTGGTGGTAAACCTCCTGTTACACTGAACCAGAATTTAGTTTCACGCTTGGTTCTAAACAAGCGAAATTGTTGGTATGTGTTAGGAATGAATAGGAACGTTTTGTTCGTGGTTGGGTGCAGAGAACAAATACGAGATTTCCTCACTTTCAGTACTGTTTGTACGTTCTGAGCAACGCTAACTAATCCGCCTGTAGACACATAAGCTGTGCCATCTCCTGCGCTGTCATTCTCTTTCAAATAAAGTTTATGTCCTGGAGGCAATCTCGATGTCTTTTTCCTGCGTAGTACAGGCAGGTTCTCTTGCTCTCCTTTTTTTGACAATGCCTTGCTCTGTGAGTTGTCCCACTGAAGTCAGCAGGAGCAGTAAAAGACCGAGCTGTTACTCGGTATCAGTATTTTCTGTCCCCCACATGCAAACCTTCAGGCGGTGCTGTGGGACCCTTTGTGCCCCAAGCACTGGACGTCCCTGGGGTGTGTGTGTCGGCACAAGGGTAGTTGCTGCTGCAGTTTGGATCAAAGCCCTTGTTTCTTGGGTCTGAAGAGATGGGACCGAGGCTTCCGTGAGCAAATTCCCCGTGAACAAGCAGCTTGCAAGTCTGAGGGTTTTGTCATCTGAATCCAGCTCTTGGACCTGCAGTTCCCCTTGCAGCACAGAAACGGCCACCGAAAGCTGGAGGGAAACAGGGTTAAAGAGCCTTCCCTTTCACCTTACGCAAATACGCAAGAAATACTTGGGCAAGAACGGTGTGTCAGGGGTGCTGTTGGGAAGAGGGACGGCTGTTTGTTTTTTATCCTCCCCCAAAGTACAACCTATTTAAATATTTACATGATCTCTTGCTGAAAGGCTTTCTTTTCTTTCCTATACCTTTCTGGTTTATTATTAAGTTATGAATGCGGGAGAGGGAGAGATTTGTAATTGCCAATTATTCTGCTCTGTTAAAGAAGTGTATAGTTTTATTTAGTCAGAGAAATATGGTAATAGTGTTTTCTAACAGATTTAAACAGTTTCACTGAGGCTTGTGTTTTGCTGTTTAATATTATTGCTTCTTTTCATGCCCTTTGTATATTTTATCATCTTAATAGCTACGTGAACATACAGTAAAAAAAGGAAATTTCAGACAATACAACCTTGAAGAGAAAGCAGTGGAGGACTAATTTTATACGCAGATAATTTCAGAAGATTAATAATATAGATAATAAAGGGCTTGTGAATGCAGGCATTATATATTCAGTACTTTATAAGCGGTTTTGAATGGCCACTAGGTCCTTCACTGATTAGCACACACCTGCTCCAGCCTCGGTCACGCCTCGTGTATCTGTTCTGCATAGACTCTCCTGCTAGGTCGCTGCATCTAAAATTCTGTAACTATTCGAGGCATCTATTTGTAAGTGTTAGTTTAAAGAATCAGCAGTGTTAAATGACATGAAACCTCCTGGGTTACAAAGCTCTTGCAGGGATGGGAAAAGTGAAAATAGAGCTCCTTAGGGTCCCGAGGAAAGACTTCAGCAAGTGGTCAGCGTTACACCTAGGAAGTAATCTTTTAAAATCAATAGATCGTAGGAGATGCTGCAGGTAAACAGGTCTGCAGTCTTTGTTGGACTGAGGCCTTGATCATGAATCACAGTTCAAAATTAAAGGTATTTTACTTCAATGTAAAATGAGTTTTAGAAGGAATAGGTTTTGCACACGATACAGACCTTCAAGACACAAATTTGAAAGTAATTTAGCATGAGAAACTGTCTGCTGTCAAGCTACATAGAGACTTTAAGTATTTCATGTTGTCTTTTCATAGTCTTAATTGTCAGACGTGCATCTGATGTACAAGAGCAGTTTGAAGAGCAGTGTGTTTGTACCCCAGGTAGCCTTCAGAGAGTAAAGATTCGCCCCTTTCTGCTGAAGGGACTGACAGGCTGAGAGGCTTTGGCAAGGTCGGTACTTCATTCTCAAAAGTTTGCAGCCCTGTAATCGTTATTTTGGAAGCAATCCTTACTCTTTTCTATAACTACCCATATAATCTCCCTGTCAAAGACTGTGGCAAAAGTTGTGATTAAAAATGAAGCAGAGAAATATATTTCAGTGCAGGAAAGCCTGTCAGTATGTGCCTGATTTTCAGTGGCTATATGCGTGGTAGTGTGATCTAAAGCTCAGATACAGCTAGATCTTAGTGTCCGGAACTCTCCTCGGCCTGGGGAGACCCACAGTGCCATGTTGCAGTGACTTTGGCAACTACAAATCCCAGGGAACATTGCCATTAGCAGGTTCCTGCAACCGGATTGGCATCCTGCAGGGACCAATGGCGAGCAGAGAATTCAAGAAAAATCCATGTGTGTCAGCTGTGCCAGTGTTAAAAAGCACCGGGGAGAGCTGTAGACCTGAGTGGAAATTGCCTGTTTCCCTGGGCTGCTTTTAAACCCCCGTGTGAGCTTTGTATCAAGACTCTATTGTACACCCTTTGTGCCTGGGCTTGAAAAAGCCTGCTGGGCTCGTCCAGATGGATGAAATTCTGAACTGCAGACCGGCTGACTTGGAAGATTACTACAACTTGCTAGGATGCGATGAACTGTCTACGGTAAGAGCCTTCCCCACCTCCCCAGAGCCTTCCCCACCTCCCCTCCAGGCTTGTAACGTTTTGACTGTGCTTGTCTGCCTACAGGGGGGATGTGAAGTTGGTTTTCTGTACAGGCAGGACCATTTGAAACGCATGGCAAACCTTCTTTCTTGCCCCTGGTATCTTTTAGTATCTCCCTTCGGAAAGCTCAGTGTTCTGATCTGTATGCCGATGTTAAGATCCTAGACTAAGGCTTATCCTAGAAGTGTCTTATAAAACAGGATTGTATTATAGCTACAGCTGAAAGAATGGTTTATTCATTAGTTTACTTCAACATGTGATATGGTTGTGAATCATGAGCCAGCTGCATAAATTTGACAACATCCAAATAATAATTTGGAATAGATTTTCGGTTTTAAAAGATGACAAAAGGTATTTATATGCATCTAATAACAATGCATGTTCATAGCTGTAGGTCACTGATAATGCTGTTGAGTTTCTCAGGTTTTAACGTATTTTTTTAATTTTTTAAAAACTGTATTCATTGGTTGGGAGGAAAAAAAATAATTTCTCTTTTTTTAAATCATATTAATGATTTTTAAATGCTAACTTTATTGACATTGAAATACTAGTTCTACTAATGTGTTTGGGTAGCAGATACATACCTTACAGTGAGATCTAGCTAAGCAATTGTTGAACCATTTGTAACTAAAAAAAGTATTTTTCTTCTGAACGGTGTCCGCATAACATTTTTTGGATAGTCTGAGTAAGTGGTATGCTAATATTTTTTTAAATCTAATTGTTACATTAACTGGAATTGTGTTTTGATTTTGGAAAAGGAGTTTTGATTACTCTGCTGTAATGAAGGATGTATTCAGTGTGGATAAAAGCTGTATTTTGCTTGGTAAATTTAATCAGATGCTCTCATCCATCCTAGCGGCCAAATGCTGGGGAAATACCTCTTGTCTCTTCTGTCACTGAAAGCAAACTAGTAAAGCATCTTTGACCTGTTAGGGAAGGCAATTTGAAGTCTTTCTTGAGATAACTTCCCAAAAGCCATCCCAGCAGAGGGCGGTGTAAGGTTTTTATGTTGTCTTGCAGATGCTACTTCTCATTTTCTACCTCACACTAATTCCTGAAGGTCTTATCAATTAATTAATAGTTCATGTACACGTGATGATGATCTTTCAGATTGCTTCAAAATGAAATTAAAAAGATGGAATAAATACTAATGGGTCCTGAAAAATAATCTGTCAAGTATAACTTGTTGAGAGAAGCAGTGGACATTACTAGATTATTGACATGGGAGTAGGAACTGAGATCACAAGTTGCCTGAGTACTGTGACTGCCTTCCCTCGGGACGGTGCACACTGCTTCTAACATTGAACAGAAACTCGAAGCATTACAGGTGTTTTGCAATCACATTACTTTGTATGTGACAAATACAGTCACGTATTTGTGGCAGCACAGGCTTCTTTAGGCATATACAGCACCTTCCCAGCTTCCATTCTTTCATTGAATCGGCTGAATATTCTGGTCTTGATCTGGCCTGGGTAATTTAAGCACAAATAGTCTCAATTTCTACAGATTTCCCCTGTATTCAAGTAAATGCCTGTGTTCGTTCTTGCTTCTTGTAGAATTGAGCTCATGGACACCTTGTTCATCTTCAGACTTGAGAGGAAGGGGGGAGATTTAATCTTCATCCTTCTTCCAAGAACAGCATTATTCATATATAGTGGGTATGGGATACCCTTCTTGGTAAAAAACCTCAATGAATATTTCATATAAATTTCATATATTTTGTATAAACTTCATATAAACTTATCCTTCTACTGATTTTTTTTTTTAAACTGAAGACTTCCACACTACCCCTCTGCTACTGTACATATTGTAACTTCAAAGTTCCCCTTTATATAACTAAGTCTTAGAGGTGGTAGTTAGCTATATAATAACCAGTTTCAACAAGTTCTCTGTACAATGTATCTATCTTTAAGTGTCTTACTGACTGGACTTGTATCACCTTGTATCTGTCCCTCTCGAGGAAGTTAACTGAGAAGAGCAAGAAGTGTAGGATTCTTAAAATACTACTGTAGACCACATCTTTCCCAGCATATGACAGCAAAATTGGGCCAGCTAGTTGAATGAACTGTAATTTTGTAATAAAAAAAAATGTAGCAAGCCTTAATTTTGAAATAAATAATTTAAACTGTATATAGATATCAGCATTTGAAGGAGGAGGAATTTTATATAAACAGCCCTTCTAGCGTGGGAAAGAATAGTAGCTAATTGATATCTTGGGGCAAATTGTTGTGAAAGCTTGAGTTGTTCTGGAATAATATAAGGAAGTTTTGGCTTCTGAATTATAAGAAGCAGCAAGATACTTTGGAAAAGCTGAACATCTAAGCTGATGCCCACTCCAGTGGTTTCCTGTATTTTGTTAACTGTTAAGAAGTCTCTGTTTTTTCCAGTGGTTCTAATATTTTATGGCACTATAAACTGTGTGGGAGCTTGTAATTAATAAACTAATACATGCCAATAGTCTAATATTGATTATAAATTTATTCTATTCCAACCCAACCTTTTGCACAGCAATTTAACTTGGGAGGAGGAATGTGAACTGCTAATTATCTAGCTTCGGGGTAGCCAAGATGGAAAAGCCATGCGACACTGACTAAATTTCCTATGAAGAGGATATGGAGAAAGCCACCCAGTCCCACATATTGATCTACAGCAATACAGAAGGTCTTTGCCTCCTGCAATGAGACTTCGTTAAAAATTAGGGTTGATTAAACAAAGTGAAGAGAGGCTGAAGTGATGCATTTTGCCTGTGTGGTCAAATGCGAGGAAAGGGTTTCACACACATGATCTTTACAGATCTTTCTTAAAGCCAGCTTGCCGTATTGGATGACTGAGCTTCACAAAAACAGGAATGTGTGCATGGAAAATGAAGTTAAATAAGTAGTGTCACTGACAGATGGTTGTTGTTACCTATTTTGTTTGTACTAAAGCTTGTAAAAATTAATAGGAAAAAATCTTTCAGCATTCTTTGTTGTTCCTCCCAGCCCCTTTCAAAAAACAAATTTGAAAATCTTTTCTCTGTGTGTGTATTTACTCACTTTAAGTCTCAACATTCTGTTTAGGTTGAACAAATTCTTGCAGAATATAAGATTAAAGCCCTTGAATGTCATCCTGACAAACATCCTGGAAACCCCAAAGCAGGTATGTATTCTTCCCTGTTTAAAAACAATCTATTTTTTTTCTTATATTAACGTGACTAAGAGATTAAATTCAACCTTAAAACTTTATTTAATACTCTTTTCCCCCAATATATTTTAACTGTGATGTGTGTGGAGCATACTGTCTTTAAACAGCAAGCTTTAATATTCTTTTCTAACACTTGCACGCTCCTTGGTGATAGAGCAGGAAGACACTTTTTGGAATTCTTTTTTTCCTAGGACCTTCAATTTTTTTTCTTTCTATGGTAGAACATCTTTTAATCCAGAAATTATTTATGGAGTGTAATCCTTTCTAGACCTATGAAGAGGGCCTGCTTCTATGCTCATGGCATTCAGGTGCCATACTTGTGTCAACTAGTTAATTTGCTTCCATGAACGATCCCATCAGGAACATGGTAAATGTACTTTAGTTTCTTTTAATGTAATTTAATGACTGGAAATAAAGAGAAGTCATCACCACATGAGTAGCCATCTGTTTGCGGAAGAGCAGCTAACATTTGCGTTTATGAAAGCATTCAGTTCATCAAACCTGTGATGGCTAAGCAGCACCTGAGTTATTTGGAGACAATCTTACCCATTCATAACCACAAGATCGCTCTAATCAGCGCTCACCAACATCTGAATAGTTTATATTCTTATACCAAAGGTTATTTTGATGATAATTATGGTCCCCACCAAAAATCTGTTGTAGAATAATTAAATATGCTTCCAATTTTGATTGTGAAAAACTTTTCCTTCAATTCCTCCTATTAGTAGAACTATAAACTGAACAACATAAGCATAAACCGAACACCAGAGCCTACCTACTTGTGTGAGTTTGACCTCATCCACGGCCTCCCCTGAGGCAGCAGAGCTGGCAGTAGAGCAGATGTTAAATGAGACTCGTGCTCCCCGCCTCCAGCAGGGCTCTTAGCGGGGCTTGGCTTTCCTTGATGTGCCATCCTCGCCTAGAATCAGGGGGTTGGCAAGGGGGGGAGTTAGAAGGTGAAATAGGTCGGATGTTTCACTTCGAGATTCCCTGACAAGGAAGCCCCCCCATATTTGGCATTTGAGAGATGATCTACCACCTACTAACAGTGACCTGATCCCTAATATTTAATTCATTCTAAATGATAGAACAAGTACCAATGAAACCGATGGAACGTAAATTCTGGCTGCAGAAAATTCTGGCTATTGCAGCAAGGGAAACGAGAGACTGTTCCAGTGCATGGTCCTTGTTCTGCCTGCACCGCCCCCCAGTCCCGTGTCCCTGTCCCTCACAATTAATTGAAACTAAGTAACAGAAAAAGGGAGGCCAAGTGCCAAACGTTGGAGCAGCTTTGTCAAGAAGAAATATTTTATGCTTCATTGACCTGAACATGCTGTATTTACTTTAAGTACCTTTTGACAGTACTGGTGAAAGTTTATATTTTTATTTCAGAAGCTCAAGAAAGAGTAATTAAATAGACCTTTTGGTTGTTGAAAACTAGTAATGCTAGAAAAAGGAAACCTAATAGAACTGCCCCCTCAACCTGTTGTCTGTTGTTAGATTTATAGTTACCAATTTTGATTAGTGTTTGGGCTTAGTGTATTTCAAAAGAAATATCTCTAATTTGTAAACTGGAATAAATGAATAATAATAATAATAGATCACATAGGTGACTCATATATAAAGTCTAAATCTTTATAACCCTTCTACAAATAGTAACATGCAGCTGCATCCTTAGTAACCATTTCATTAATAATTACCCTAAGGAAAAACAAGAGCTCTCATTCATGCAGTCTGGTAGGCAAGATAACATTTTAGCATATGTAGAAAACATACCTAATAAAATGCACAAGCTACTTAACTTGAACTATATTTAGATTCCTCTTTTTGCTTGTCAGTTTTTGCTTGTAATTTTTTTTTTTTTCCTCTGCTCATGTTTTCTTGGTGTTGTGCTTTGCTCTGACTTCCTTGCTGCTGTGGATGCAAGGGTGTTTCTTTAAAGCATTATTACTCCAGTTTAATTTCCCTTTTTAAGGTTGTCTACAGGGGGCGACTTGTGCCTTGTGCCTGCTGTACTCTAAGTTTTTCTGTACTCAAATTTAGGAGATTTTGAAGCTGGTAGACAAAGGAGCATTTTAGTCCTCATTTGAAAAGGATATCAGTTGTCCACCAGCAGTGCTATGATCCTAAAGCCAGCTAAAACTTTGCAAAGCTGTAAGCAGAACACCCACGTTCCTTTGTCGCTCAGCTCTCCTTCTGTCTCTTTTACTCTGTTTGCTCTAAGCCATTGTTGGCAGCTCCCCTTTCATATCTGAATTAATTTATTTCAAAACAAATATTGGCTTTAGTATCTTTTTGTGTTGTAGTGGAGAATTTCCAGAAGCTGCAGCAAGCTAAGGAAGTTCTTACTAACGAAGAGAGTCGAGTGCGTTATGATTACTGGAGGCGAAGCAAAATTACCATTCCATTCCAGCAGTGGGAGGCCCTGAGCAATTCCGTGAAAACGGTTGGTGTTGTCTAAGTTTGGGCCTTCAGGAGGAGGGGGAAGTAGGACTGGTCCAGAGAAAATGTTGCAGTGAGTGAGAGGATGAGTTATAACACTTTGGCTGCAGTGGTAGGTTTTGGGGATGGGAATAGTGTAGAGTGATTCCTGCACTAAGGGAGTTAAGGAAACTTGGGGAAAAATTGGAAAGCTATAGAAGCCCATTCACAGAAGGGTTTGGGGCTAGTAGTTTTAGAGTGAATTTATTGAGTTGCTGCTTTTATGTGAATTATATGTGTATCATATATGTTTAAGTAACTCAGGGGCTGTTTTCAAATGCTTCAGCACACTTTGCTTTTGTAGAAACCTTTTATTTATTTTCAAAGCTAGGACCTTTGTATAATATATCCTCCTTTTGGTATACTGCTTATCAGATGGTTTTTCATGCTATCTGATTAAATAAAGAGCTCATTGAAAAATCTAGAAGGTAGGTTCCTTGGTACCCTGGGCTTCACACAGGTCTCTGGAGGGGCCCTGCTAGGCTAGTGGGGTGATTTGTGACAGAGACAGATGTTCTGAAGGTTGTTTTCCCTCCTAATTTTGCTAGTGAGATAATTTGATAGCGTGTTCCTAGTAGATCCTAATTCTATAATGTTTTATTTTTTTCTGCCTTATTAGGGTGAATGATGGTTACAAGTCTATGTAGTCAGATTTTAAGGCAGGTGAATAAATGTTTCCCTTGCCAATTCTGCCCGCCTCGGTTCTTCTTATGAGAAAAGTCTGAGAGCTTCTTCAACTAAAGCATTATGCCTGAGCTTAAATGTTTGCTGGGGGTATCCCATCAAGCTTAGTTCAGTTCCAAACAGAAGTTATTTCACAGACTTTAATACGAAAGTTTTCCTAATTGTCTTGTTTTCAAAGGGCACCTTGAAGTCAAAGACAGCCTTGAAAATGGACATTTTCTAAGTCACTCAAGGCCTCTTAAAAAAAGGGTCAGAAGTCACGACAGAAGAAACTGGACAAAAGACCCTTAGAATTATTTGATGCAATTGTGCATTTTGTCCTTGATTCCTACCTGACATAAACTGTTCTCTCAAATGCTATTTGCAATATGTAACCATGCATTCCCCTGTCCTATTGACCTGCAAGGTTCTCTCCAATATGTGCTTTGTTTAAGCATTTATTACAACAGTATAAGAAAGAAAAGAGAAATTCATTTAAAAAATCTTTTAAGGCATAGGAATTAGTTGTTTATTTGTTATTTTTGCATTTATTTAGTCAATGCACTGGGCTGTCCAAAGTAAGAAGGACCAAATGCTGGAAGCTCCTGACTTGAATAATAGCAACAACACAACTAATGAGATTTGGACCCAACAGATGGAAAGCAATGAAGACGGATTGTCAGATGGGAACAGGGAGCAAGAAGATGTTGCAATTTCTGATGTAAAACCACAGTCTTCAAAGAATCCAGACTCCCCAAGTAAGTGAAACCAGCAGTTACAGAAAATTGCAGTATCCAGGGATTGGTCTGAAATGGAGGCTTTTAGTCATGAGAAATTCTTCTCCAGAATAATATGTTTAACTGGTAGCTTTTTAAATGTGGTTTTGGGTTGGGGTTTTGTTTTGGGTTTTATATTGTTTATTATTTGTTTAATTTTGAAGCTTTCAGGCCTTTCTTCCTCCCTACCCCATGTTTGCTCACTTGTTTGCTAGTAAACCCGAAAACTAGAGGAGAAGAGGAAAAAATTCTTCTCAAGCCAAAATGGAAAGTTCAGTTTTGCTGCTATATCAAAATAAAAAAAAAAAGGCAATTATTTTCAGTGATTTTAATAAAAATAACTTTTAAGATGTTAAATAAAACATTTAGGTATTGTACTATTTTTTATTTTATCCAGCATTCAGTATTTATGCACAGTTTGCATCTGATGAGTTAATGAGGATTAAAAATTGAAATTTGAAGGCTTCCTTTGTATTTGAACTATTTCAACAGATTTTTTAAAAAATAGTGCATGCACCAGAATAAATGTGTATTTCAAAAGCTGTCATCTGGCCAGGTGGTGTTTCCTGTCTCTTGTTTAGGTTAGTATGCCTGAATCGAAGTTTACTTACCACAATGGCCACCCTCTGTTCTGCTTGATCCTTCAGGAGTTTCATAATCTTAGGCTTATGCTATCAGAGAACTATGATTAAACAAAGTCCTGTCGTTTCTCCCCAGCTTGATCAAACAGGAAATTAAGTTGAACTGTGAGGGTAGCAAAACCTAATTTAATCCCAAACATTTGTGGAATGCAGAAAATAGGTAAGAAAATTCTACAAACAAAATGTATGTGAGGCATAACTGAAAATTTTATATTTAAAAAAATTATGCTCTATAAAATTATACTATTTGCTTTTTTTTTGATAACTAAATAATTACTATATCCTTTGTAAAATAGTAAAATTTCACAGTAAAGAAAACATCATCTCGTTCCTTGTAATGATAGAATCATAGAATGGTTTGGGTCCGAAGCAACCTTTAAAAGTCACCTACTCCAACCCCCCTGCAGTGAGCAGGGACATCTTCAAGCAGAGCAGGCTGCTCAGAGCCCCGTCCAACCTGGTCTTGAGTGTTTCCAGGGATGGGGCATCTACCACCTCTCTGGGCACCCTGCGCCAATGTTTCACCGCCCTCAGTGTAAAAAATTTCTTCCTTATATCTAGTCTAAGGTCCCATGGTGAGCTTTCTTTGCAGTAATTTTCTTATTTTAAGTTTTAATTTAATTTCTGTAGATTTGAATGGGAAAAATATCAAACCAATCAAATGCCTATTTAATTTACCCAGTGGGCATATATTTACATTAATAAATGTTAATATTAGAATATGTTTATTTGACAGGGCCTGTATGCACTCCAGTGTTCATACTTGATTGTAGGATGTTGATAATGCTTTTCTTTTGGTCCAGGAAAATGTATTATATTGGATTCCACTTTTAAACAGGGATATTTTCAGTTCCTGTCTGCTGGTCTGTAAGAATTATGGACTACAACTCCACGTAGCTATTTGAGCCTGAATAAGAGATTTTTAACACTAAGTCTGGTAATAGGCTTCAGCTTCCTGATATAGGAAGATCACATTTTAGTATTAACAGCCCATAGATCATAAAAACATAGTGCAGGGTCTGAAAAACTCCTTTACTCCCTTACGTGTGGAAAGGGCCATCTGTACCTTCCCTCCACACTGCTGCCTTTCACGTACTTGGAGATTTATCATGTCACCCGCTATCTCTTCTTCTTTAGATTAAGCAAATGCAATTTGTTCAATTTTTTTTTGGTAAGTCCTCTTTTCTAGACTGCTGTCGTTCTTGCTGTTCTCCTTTGGACTCTTCCCAGCTGATATATATCTTGAAGTTTGGTGTTTGCTTGAATTCTTGTTCAAATGGTGCCAAGAATACAGAGGTTGCCCCTGCTAGTCAAGAGCACTGGAAGTGACCAATTTTTTACTTACTTTTTCTGGAGAAGATTATCAAATATTATTTCAAACAACTTAGTTTTATCCATGTTTATCATAATTTACTTGCCTTTCTCTTTTTTTTTCCTCAGGATTTTCAGAGGCAAATTACTGGCACTTGCGTTTCCGTTGGTCAGGGGATGCTCCATCAGAGCTGCTGAGGAAATTCAGAAACTACGAGATCTAAAATGCAAAATATGCAAGAGTGTGAGATCATCTGTTCAACAATTCAGTATTTTTTTGTCAGCAGTGATAAGTTATTTGTATTCATTCACTGTGATGTGAACGTTGTTCAAATAAGTGTCAATACTGATTTGTTAACATGCATGCTCTGAGCATTACAGATGGTGGTCTTTTTGTTTAATAAGCGACTTTAAAAAGTAAAGCCCTTTTCAGTATTAACATAAAGTGATTTTGTGAAGTTAGCTAACATTTTATATATTGTTTCTTGTATTCTTAAGTATTGTGTAGTGAATATTTCTCTCAACACTGTCATGCTATGAAGAATGTACTCTCAGTAGAACCAAAAGTCAATGTTAGACTCCAGCATATCATCCTATTCAGTGACGATCTTCTAAAAGCTATATGACAATGAAATTTAATCAGAACTGTGCTTATATCTAAACGATGTACACTGGCTCACTTCTCCATTGCATTGTACTTCCTATAGTGATTTATTATGCACACATGTACAATACTGTTACAAACTTATTAGAGAATTGTGATCTTGGGATATAGATGAACTAAGAACCTTGTTATTACCCAAGAAGGTCACCATGATAGATCAAGCACTCTTAAAAAATCACTTGGTTTCTATCTTAACAAGTGCGCTTTTTGCACCAGCTATTTATTTTGGAAGGCAGTTCCAGAACTTCGCTTCTCCAGTTAGCAACTTAATTTCTTCTGAAGATGTATTGGTGGACAACTGATACCCATTGTCTGTGGACCAGCATTGTCCTGTGGCTTAATAGTAATTTCCCTCTCTGCTCCGGCCTGGTAGTCGGGGTCTTATCAAGGTTTTGTATGGTGAGGAATGAAGAGTCAGGCCAGTCAGCATCAATGTGTACAAAAGCTCACAGAAAAGCTTTTTGATATTTTGGGCAAGTTTTCAAGCTCTACATTGTGTTTATTCATTTTGTATTTGCTTTCTTCTTTGTAAACCTGGCTAATATATCAGGTATTGACATTGTGGTTTTGTGCAGACAAGTAATTCCAGCAGCAACAAATAAAACTGCATGCATACAAAAAGGGGATGTTTTCATTTTTTTAATTGGAATCTTCTACCCACCACACAGATCCCTTTTGAATTTCTTGTTATTTGTCCCCTCAGTGTAGGTAAAAGCTTAAGGAAGTCCAGTTATGAATCTTGGGCATCTCCATGGAAAGTCTAATCTGAAAACTACAGCCTTTTCCCAACATGGAAACAATATTAGCATGTCTGTCTCTCCCTGGAGTGACATGTTTGGCTCTACCGTGCAGGGGTGTGATGTGCTGACTGACCTACTGTGCTTCTCCTGTTTGGTGCCCATTTGCTATAAATTATAACACAAGTGCCTGCCAATGGAACCCTGATAATATGTCTATCTTATTAGCCTCATTAGTGTATTTATTCTGGTGCCATTTATCTTTACAGGGGCTGATACTAGTGTTAATGCTGGTTGTGTTTGTACCAGTTTATAAAAGCTGAAAGTACTGGTGTTCTCCTGATACAGCTACATTGATCCTAGAGTTGATGGCATCAGTAGCAATAGCTATTTTTACGGCACACCATCCTGCTTATCCAAAAGATTTTTTTTTTGTTATTCTACATGCTTTGCCCTTGCATACTTTGTAGCTGAAAACATTACAGAGATGAGATTAATAATTCCCTGTAATATATGCTAAATGTAATTACAAATTTTCTTCTAGTGCATATGCTGCTTTCCTTTAGATAAAGGTATTTGCCCAAGAAAGACTTTCAATCCATTTTATAGGGAGGGACTGCAAAGTATGTCAAACAGCAGTAACAGAAGAAACTCTAGTTCATGCAAAGGATACAAAGTAATAGGGTACAACTTTCCTGTCTTTACCAAAAAGATGGAAATGCAGTCGGCTGGAATACTTTGAATCAGACGGCAGCTCAGCTTCTCCTCTCCCCATTTGACTGGTAAAGGTAAAAGGGGGTAGCTGGATGGATGATTTAGCACTTAACCAGCTGGTTTCCCTCAAGAGGTAAATATACAATAGACCTTTGTACAGCAAACTCGTTTTTCATGTAATTAAAACTGATGTCATTATTAGCCAATTATTACATGGTTTGTTTTGGCAAAGCACCTTTAGATATTTGTTCTGGATGAATAATTGCAGATATTTGGAAGACTCTCAGCCCAGTGAAAGCTGATGGTAAAACTTGCATATTGCAAGGTACCTGCTAGAGATCAGTACTCTAATTTGTATTTGCCCTAGTAAAGGGGACAGATTATTAACTGGTGCTCTAGTACACCGACACAGACTTTTTTCTATTTATGTATATATTTAACTTGAAATGGTCCAATTTTCTGTATTCTCAAATAAAGCTGAATTAACCTATTCCTAGCAGAGCAAACCCAGGGGTACTAGAAAGCGAGAGGAAGCTGTGCAGCCTGTTTTGCTTTTGGGACAGCACTGGTGGGACCTGACCTGTTGGCCAGTAAGAATAGTTAACTGGAATAACTGGGCAGCCCAGTTCTCCCTCATGTTAGAAAGGAAAGAAATAAGCACCTGACAAATTGCCCATTGTAATTAACCTATTCCTAGCAGAGCAAACCCAGGGGTACTAGAAAGCGAGAGGAAGCTGTGCAGCCTGTTTTGCTTTTGGGACAGCACTGGTGGGACCTGACCTGTTGGCCAGTAAGAATAGTTAACTGGAATAACTGGGCAGCCCAGTTCTCCCTCATGTTAGAAAGGAAAGAAATAAGCACCTGACAAATTGCCCATTGTTAGAATTTTTAAAAGGTTTTTTTGCTAGTAGCATGAAAAGACGCAGCAAATGTCCCACATGATATTATCCACAATAATGTGGTGCCTTGGCCTCTGCACTGGTAAGCATATAATATGCTTAAATATTAATTGGAGCGGAGGTTGCAGTGCCTTGGCCTCTGCACTGGTAAGCATTAATATGCTTAAATATTAATTGGAGCGGAGGTTGTAAGCTGGATCTCACGCTCTGTGAAGATGTGATTAAGAGGCAATAGTCAGGTATACATGGTTTTTTGGTGGCCAACAGAGAACTTAACTTTCTTTGCAAAGTGGAAACAGCTGCAAAAGGACAGTTGTGGGGATGGGGAGCAACAGCAACAAACCCAGGTACTATATATTAGAATTAGGGGGCTGAATCTTGAGTTGGGGGAGAGGGCAGTTACTTGCAAGGGATGGTAAGGTCCTGTTTTCTTCTGGAGCACTTCTGTGAGCTGTTTAGGCAGGTAACAAAGGGTCCTGAACCATCTGGGTACCTGAGGGGTCTGACTCGGTGTGTGCTTCCACTGCACAGCGATTGACCATTACCGTGCTTGTGCACTTTGTTAGCTATAGCTCTAAGTGATTTAGCTTAGCTTGGTATGAAAATAAACAGACCTGTGGAGTGAGCCTAGATCCTCTGGAGTCCAGTCAAAAGTATTGCTTAAACTTTGCCATTACTGGACTTGTGAGGGCTGATGAGATTTCAGCTGGAAGTTATGAGATAGCAGGTGGATGATGAGGATAATAAAATACAGAAAATAGGGCATGTTGTTTAATATGTGTTTTTAGGTCTCTGAAACTGTATCAACTAGTTTATTCAGCCAGATGTTTACAATGAAACTGAAAAGCTCTGGGGGGTTCTTCAATTATATAAAATCAATATATCTTTAATTACTGCTCTAATGCCTGTTCTTGTGCAAATGCTGAATGTATAAGATTGAGAATGTTCTAGTTCTTTGTGAACTTTTTGCTTTGCCAGTATTTGCCAAGTTGTTTTGCCAACGTTTCCCAAGTGGTGATGTAGGAGTTAGTTTTGATGATGAATACTCATAGTACATGACTTAAAATCTCAGGCTGAGTAATGCTGGATGGTAAGATCGTTTCCTGAATGCTTGTTTTCCTCTTTCTTTGAATGAGAGAGGGGGGAAAAAAAAAAAGGCAGTTTATATGTTCTATAATAGAACCAAGTATCCTGATGATTAAAACAGATATTGGGTAGCTTTAATTTCCTGAGCACGAACATTGCTATCTTACACTCTCATATCCTGAAATGAGGGACAAGACTGCTGGGAAGGTAAGCAGTGAAGCTATTGTAAAGCTGATGAAATTACACAACAAAAGATAAAGCAACTCAGTAAGTTGTCAGCCTCTGTCACTGTCAGATGGGGTGATGTTTATCAGTTAATTTATGCTGGGTATTTTTATTGCAACCCAGCATACACGCTCATCCTGCTGTTATAAGAGTTGCCGAGCCTCCCCCCGACGGTAGGCACTGCGTATGTTTGTTCTCTCACCTTCACTCTATTAGTCTCTTCTCCTTCCTGTGCTAATGAAGGCGAGACTCTTCATGTGCTCCGTTTGTCCCAGCTTTGAAAGGCTTGTGTCTGAGTCATTACAGTGGTGCGCAATACAGACTGGGAACTGTTACACATCTTGGGTCTCTGATGGCTATTGTAACCTGTCACAGGTGATGGATGCTGGAGAAAATGAATTTTCTTTCCTCTCTTTTCTGTCTTCACGGTGGTTTGCTCTTGCTCCCTTCTTCTGGTGGGGCAGTATGGGAGAGGGGTTACTGCTGCCAATATTCGGAAGGTTTCCGGTCTTGATGTGTGATGTGGTTCTCAGTGCTTTGGACAAAATTATTTGCTTGCTGCTTTGTCAAAACTGCTTCTCCAAAAATACTGAAAGACTCGGCACCAAAGACAGACAGCCTTTCTGCGGAGATACAGTTTGACTTTCAGGGACAGATCCTTGCAGAAACCACATTAACTTCACCAGGATTGTCCGAGCTGGTCCTTTACTAGCAGTTAATTTCCATGGAACCACCAAATTTATGCTGGGAAGAGGACTGTCAACTCCTCCTCTTTCCATAAACAACTTTGTGTGAATGATATCGAGGGGATGGGGGAGCAGAAGAATGAGCAGAAAGGTCCAGAGGAGTAAGAGACTGTTCCAGCTGGTTGGGCCTGGGTGCCTTTGGTGCTTTCCGCTACTTGCAGTCCTCACTTTCAAAGGATTTGAGTCTTCCCCAGGATTCCCATGTCCATCCTTGGCCTGCAACTGCCAAAGGACTGGGCTGCTTGCTTCAGTGTGGGTAGCTGATGATAAAAAAATAAAAAAGGAGCCTGGAAATCTTAAGCACCTCTTTGCTTAGCAGGCTAGAGGCACCTTGATCCCTGAAGGTACTGTGCAGCGGGCCTGAAGGGTTTGGGGAGGAAAATTGCACCAAGTGGCAGAGATATGGAGCAGTACCATGTTGAGCCCGTATGTACGCTTTGGAGTCTGGACTCCAGCACCAGATTCGTTACTGCCCTGCTCTTTCTCACTGTTCTAGCTGAGGTTTAAAAAGGGAAGCGGATCAGAACAGTAGTGCTTTAACTCTTTGCTGTAAAACGGAGGTGAAAAGTGATAGGAGTCAAGAGGCGAGCACTGAAGCAGGAACACTAGTGCTGCTGATGTGTATATAGCTTTAGTGGGCTGTTTGGCAGTCCTTACTTTCTTCTGTAATTACAAAAAAAAATTGTGATTAAAACCATACGGTTCTTCCCCTTTTTTAGTACTTTGATGAGAACATTTTCATAAATCTTGCTGAAGGGTAAGGGTGAGAAGTTACTTGGGTGTTCACTGTTGCTCTTTTATTTTTTCAACTGCAAATTTTAGAGAAAATCAGTTTCAAGGTGAAAAGGTTCACTGAATGCAGATACCTCCTTAGATGGAGGAGATTTTTGTTGCTTTTCTGTCAGACTGGCCTCTTATTTTTTCAATATAAAATTTAAAATAACCACGTCTTTTAAGTGTTAGTCATTTGACATTTCCATCCCCAGCGAGGTCCCAGTGAAAAGGACATCTTGAAGTTGCAAATTTCTTAATAAATATTTATTGGGTTGGTGCTTTGTCTTCACATCTGTTAAAGCAATGAAATATGTCTTTTGGAAATAAAACACCCCACAAAAGTGGTCAGTACAAAACCCGGCAACTTCTGCAGTGATGCAATTGAAAAGAAGGACTTAGTGCAAAGCTCGCCCACTGTGTTTAGTATTTTGACTCTTTTAATATTGTCTTTTTATTAATTTGGAATGTTACCCAAAACTGCATTACACAAAATACATTCTCTCATCTGTTCCAGATTACAGGGGTGCGTGGGCCCTTTGAGTTAGAAAAGAACAAGAGAGTTTCAATTCCTGACTGTTTAAACAAAGTCAAGCCTTATATGTGGAAAAGAAGTTATGTTTTCTAAAATGTGTTACCTGAAATGTGCACACTCACTAAAAACTTTGCTATTTTGCAGAGCAACTAACGTACTGCTCTAAGCACAAAATTTTAAGCTGCTGTTAGAATACAAATATGCTAAGGTGAAAGTAGCACATGTACCACACCTTAGCAAAGGATGCTTAATTCAATACTCTTGAATTTAAAAACTGTCTCTTCTGCAATGTCTGAGATGATAGATAAGATGTCTGATTCCTGTATCCCTTGGCACATACCTTTGCATGTGAGAACTCGAGGGAAATGCCTAACGTTATGGTCACGTATCACACAGTACCATTGTCAGTTATTTACCAATTTAAGATTCCTGCTAAAGTGAACCCTCTAACGCTTGCATGTGCCTTAACAGAAACAAACACCCAAACCTGAAATCCCTGGAAGCCTTGTTAGGGTGCACTTTGAAATATTCATTTTGCTGCCAGTCTAAACAATTGTTTGTCCCCTCTTACTTTTATTTTGTTCTGAGCAGGGGTATTTCAGTGTTTCTTCTTCTTCCCCTTGCCTCCATTTTCTGATTAAATTAAGTTGCACTAACAAAACATGATGCTAGAAAGAATGGGCTTGCCTGTGTCTTTGTATTGGGTTTTTGTCTTGTATTTAAGAGAGAGAGGCGTGAAAAGCGGTTGTTCCTATTCTAGCCTATTTTGGCCCCTGTGGAAATGGCCTTTTTCTTAATTTCAGTCTTCTCTTACCTGACTGCAAATTTTTCGTCTCTTCACTAATGCTGGGGTCGCACATAGGAGGAGATAGACACATCTGGGTGATGAAAGGTCAGTTTAAGCCAGTCAGAAAGAGGGGAGATGCGTGTGTGTATGGGGAAGTGCCTTGTTCTTATGTTTTTCCTGGTTATTAGTTGCATAATAACTTCTCTGTGTTTCCCACCCAACCCCCCCATTGCCAGATTGTGTGTGTGCATGCTTCATGCCTGTGCAGAAGGCCATAAAGGACAGGAAAAGGTGATCTAGGACTCCCTCGCTGGAGGTCTAGGAGTAATCAGACCAGCTTCTGTCATGAAAGAGTAGGTTTGACGAAGAGAATGCATTCAATATAGAGTAGCCTGCTGCTACTGTATTTATTTTGTATCAGCTGTAGGACATGGGAGCAGGACAATAGCCCTTTGGGCAAATGGGGGAACGGTCTGTGCAAGGCATTGGTTTAATCCTGAGCTTTGCACTTGGACAGTGCCCATCCTGCCTCAGAAAACCTAGAAGGTGAGCTGTGGAAAGAACACTCATCCCAATGCACCCTTCTCCCACCTCCACCAACTGCTGTTCCTCACAAGTGTTTACATGCAGTGCTGGAAACTTGCCCTGGGACCTATTGCTGCTACTTTATTTCTTGACAGGGGCAGGGAAGGAGCGTGTAGGCATGGCTGAACGAGCTGCAATAGGATAGATACTACACAATCCCTCCGGTTACCGCAGTTGCACGCTTAAGAGAAGCCATGAAGAGTAAAGAGCCTGCACATTCTACGCCATGGGAGAGAAAAAAATTAACCCCCATCGGGCCGCAGCGAGCAGGGTTCGAACCTGCGCGGGGAGACCCCATTGGATTTCAAGTCCAACGCCTTAACCACTCGGCCACTGCCGGCTGGGCGCTGGTGGATTTCTTTTTTTAAAAAAATAATACTTGTGCGCGGGGAAGCAGACGCGTTAGTTACCGCCATCGCTTGTTTTATTTCCTCTTGTGGTGGTTTTGGTGTTTTTTTTTGGTGCTGGTATCTTGGTTTTTTTCCCCCCTCTTTTTACTAATTCTGTTCTCTCAGCGATTGGAAAAGTTGTCTATCATATAACTTTTTTTTTTTTTTAGGTAGTTGTGTCAGCAGTGGTATAATGGAAATTAAATCTAACTTGACTTTATACATGTGCTGCTGTGGATAAAAAACATCATTTTCCCTTTCATCCTTTTTGCAGGGTATGTTTATGCTAGGGATTTTACCCTATTTTCCCTACTACAGTCACAGCTTTTAATTTTTTTTTTTTTTTTTAAATAGCTGGAGTGATGACGATTGTGCTCCCCCCCTTCTTTTTTCCCATGAGGTCAAGAAGCCTTCTTAATAATTCTTCAGCTTTCCTCAGTACCAAAAATATTGTTGTATTAATGATCTTGAATAGGCTTACGAAATTAGTCTTTTAGGACTTTTCTCTGGAACCTGGCCTGGGGAACGTAGAGGACAGACATTAGAAAGCACAAGGTGTTTCTAGAATTTTAAAAGAACTCAGTTACTTTGTACTTCAATATTTACTAAATTCTCTTTAGGTTAATACAGCTTTTAAAAAGGTTTTGACTCCTTGTCTTTAATTGCTCGTTAGCTATTGGGAGTCAGGTTGGTTTGTAGTCATTGTCAGGGAGCTACAAGTGCTCAGTTCTGGGTTACAAAAACCAAGAGAATTTATCCTTCGTTTCAACGGGCAACGATAACAACAACAGCCTTTGCAGACCGCTTGCAGAAACAGGGTTGGTCCAGTGTAACAGACCTTTAACTGTCCCTCTATAGCAGACAGTAAAAGGCTGGAATGATACAGAAAATTTGATACTATGTGGCAGTGATTTTTTTTTTTTTTTCCTTGCACTTAACTGCGTAGGGTTCAACGCTGCTGTTGATATTATCTGTGTATCTCTTCTTTCTCTCCCGTATGTCTTTTTGTGTTATTGTGGCTATATTAAAAAAAAAATGAATCAAACTTCATTTAGAATTTATCCTTGTGCTGATTGCTGTGTTTTAGATAATGAGGTACATTTTAAAACATTAACATATAAAATGGTCCTTGTTAACTTACTGTGTATCACCCATCCAACTCAGTAGTTTAGCATTGTAATAATCTTTGTTTAAAATGTTGGTTGTTTAATCTGCTTATACCGAAAGTGATTTGGACTGTTCTGCTGATGTCCATGTAGTTTTATGTGTTCGGGTAAGGCTCTCGTAAGCTGCATTATGCCTTATAAGGTGCTGTCTTTATCCCATGGTGTACCTGGTTTCATATACAGGAAGACAAAAAGCATGATTATACCAAATTTTTATGATTATGTAAATAGCAAATGAGTAGGGCAGGGAAAAGTAGTGCCTTCAGTATACCATGTTATTATAGTCGAGGGGAACTTCTTAAAGAACAGACATCGAAGGGGAGACAGTCAGAGATCATGTTTGCTGGTGGAGAAACAAGTATTTCTCGGGTGTAAATGCCAGGAAAGACTTCTTGGGGCTTTTAGTACAAAGTTGCTTTTTTTTTTAACTTTTCTTTCTTTTTTTTTTTTTTTAAATTGATTTGAGGACAAGGAGCAGAGCTGTTTACTTCTACGCTAATGGATCTGCTGCAGATTTCTTTACAGAAAACAGACTACTTGAAATCCATTCAAGTAACTTGGTTTAGGAAGATTTTATTAAATGCAAGAACATTTTTACTATTTGAAGCCAAAGGAACCCAAATTATAAAAACACATCAAAGTTCAGATTTGGTAATACCCCTTATTCAAGTAAAGGTATTTGTTCTAACTGTTCCTGAAGGCATTGAACCACAGCTGCTGGTTTTTTGGGGTTTTTTATGTAGGTCCCCCTCGTCCGTCCCGTCCCCCCCCCCAACAGAAATTTATGCATATGTGCTATATATTGGGCTTCATGTGCTTCTTACATGTATTTCCCTCATGCCTGATGGATAGGACTGGGATTTCCAGTCATCCAGCAGGTAATTTGAAGCTTTGAGTGAACTGTTGGATATTTATAAATCCTGGATGATTACACAAAATCTTCGCCTTCTGAACAGATGACATTTCCAGGATGAGTAGGACAGTAACTTAGACTTTTGGTCATGAATAAATGACATGTTACCACCTGAGTCTTTTATGTCATTTGCACAAAGTTATTTTACTCAGAAAACATTACCAGAAAAGTTTTAAATGCTCTATGTTTTGAATTTTGCCCGCTTATTAAGGGCTGTTTGTAAGAGGGGAAAAATTCCTGTTATCTATATGAAATATAAACTATTCCTTCTCTGCTTTTCCAGATGCCTTGTTCTGTTATTCTCACTGAAGAAATGTGAAAAAAAAAAAAATCCATTATATTACTGGGAGTCGTACATTTAAAATGTTCTTAAAAGTTTAAATTAAAATGGTCTTGTTTTTAGACTACAGAAACAATTCTTGCATTTAATTCTACTGAAGTAGTACTTAGTACAGTGGTTTCTGAGAACTCTAGCCAACTCTTTCCTGTACTTTATTGAAGGAGGGTCTTTTTTAACTATTCCTTTTCTTGACTGAAATGTTAAATACAATTCTGTAGTTAAGATTTGATAGTGGCTTTTTTAATAGGATAATTCTTCTATAAGCTGAGAAAATATGGAAATTGCTACTTATCTACAGCAAGGTTTTGAGCTGCAAATAATTTTTTTGAGCTGCTTCATTTTCTCTGAAAATATTCAAGAGAAAATGAAAAATTGGTATGTTTGTTACTATTTTACACGGGTTTGATAGCAAGCACAATCAATGAGAATGGTATCATTAATGTCTGTACTGTGCAAATATTCACATCACCGGAGGTCTCGTGCTATTTGACCTCTGTTCTAATAGTTGCCCCAAGCTATAATAGCACAATTCCTGTGTCTCAGGAATGAAGTTAATTGGCATCAACGCTAAATTATGAAATAATGTTTTGGAGTTTGTATTTGATCTCCTTGTCAAGACGTGTTTTAAATCTATGGAAAATTATGCTGGAAAGACAATTATGTTCTGAAGCCATGCAAAATGCAGAAAACTCAAACAAGACACAGCAAAAATAAATTACAGTGTGGTCTCAGTAACAAAAGAACTTATTTACTTGGAAGAAAGAGAAGGGTGGTTATAGACATTGACTGAATACAGAGCTCAGACTATACTCAGCCTTTGGATTCAGTGGAAATGCCCCCCCCCCATTAGCAAATCCAAGCTGCTTCTCTAAACCAATCTTATTTGATGCCGAAACCAAATTTACCAGTCTGCGTTCACAAATGGTAAGAGCATGCCCTTTGGAGCACTGTATGCTTGAGCACAGTTTTGTGTGGTGACACAGACTCATGGACTGCTTATGAATTGTCCACCTGGAAACCCTTGGGTGGCTGACAGCTATGTAGGAATAGCCAATGCATTTCTAACACCACTGAGGTCTGAGGGTTTGGATCTGGAGCTTGAAGGAACACTTTGAGTTCAGCTGTTCTCCATCAGGCCTTCCTTGGAAGGTGAAACCCTATAGCCTAACCGTGCCAGGCCCACAGGCTTTTGCCAGGTTGCAATGAACACAGAATTGTAAAGAGACACCTAAAACATACATGCAGTATCCTGAACCACTGAAACCTGTAAATAGACTTAGTGTTCCTTCTGTCTCACAATTTGCAATGTCTAACTTACATGTATATTTTATGAATTTAGGAGCCTTTATTTCCTAGCAGGACTAAGTAGAAACTTTATTTTTTTGTTTTAATGATAGTTGTCTTTATTTTGTGTTTGCATGAATTTAGAACTTGAGTTAAATGTGCAATTTCAGTAGAACGTATCATGAGAGTTGACTGACTTGGGTAAATGACACATGAAGTGTTATATTTAATCAACTACATTCAACTGAATCTTGAAAAAACTCAGTGTCTGTCTCTCTCTTCAGAGGAAATTGTTACTTGAGCAATGCTAGAGTGACCTCCAGCGTTCTTTGTGCAAGCTGCAAGTAAAAGAGCAGATATATGTATAATAATCTCTGAAGATGAGCAGTGCTCAAAAAGGGATTAGGGAAGAATGGTATCATTTGCAGAGTGCAATTTGAATTCTAGCACTTCACTACTGTGTTCCCAAGACAGAAGGAAGTCTTACTACAACACAAATCACTAAAAATATTCTAAAGAAAGCCTCAACTAAAATAGCATTGCAGTGTTAAGGCCTAGATACTGAGATAGGGAAATTCAACAATATCTAAAAAAAAATCATCAAACCCTTGAAATACAAGCCTGAAGTAAAACTCTTAAATTCCTGAGATGTAATAAGGTCTGTTGCCAAGTGCTCGAGAGCCTCTGCATGTACAGGTGTTTATTTAATAAAGCATGCTATCTGCTGTGCATAATCTTATTTTAAAGGCCTTAAAGTCCAAAATATTTAGATACTTTTGAGAGGCTGAGGCAATGTAAGGGGAGAGAGGTCAAATGAAAACTGGTCTCAGGCAGTTTGAGTAGTATAGAGCTTCCTGAGCGCTCAAGTAGGCCCTTGGCTTTTAGATGCCTCAACCAGCTGCTCAGGTCATCTTGGACAGACAGCAGAGAGGGAGGTCCTTGTCCCCAGTGGGCGAGTAAGCTCACCTATTTCAGAATAGTATAAGCAATTCTTCAGAAATGCTTTCCAGTAGCCACTGAGCAGCCCTGAAGATGGCTAGATAGGAGACCAAAAGCCTACTTAAAGCATTTGGTATGTCACAGGCTAAACTTTGCAATGTTTATGCATATATATGGTTAATTTGCATGCAATTATATTGTCAAAGAATTGGTTCATTATCAGAATTCATGCATATAACATTGCTTTATGAATGTATTGTTCTATAATTTTAGAATTTTTGAACCTATGGCACCTGTTTTTAAATGGGAA